GCTAGATAGCTAGATAGCTAGATAGCTAGATAGCTAGATAGATAGATAGATAGCTAGCTAGCTAGATTAGATAGATAGATGGATAGATGGGTAGATGGATAGATGGATAGATGGATAGATGGATAGATGGATAGATGGATAGATGGATGGATGGATGGATGGATGGATGGATAGATAGGTAGATAGGTAGATAGATAGGTAGATAGATAGATAGATTAGATAGATTAGATAGGTTGGTAGGTGGATAGTCAGAGAAAGAGAGAGAAAGAGAGGAGACCTCAAGCACCTTTCGGTCCATCAGTGGATTCGCTCTGCCATCCCTGATTCACAACAACCAATCTCTCCTATAGGTCTCCTATTTTTGAAACTTCCGCCACCGCCTTGTGCGGTACTACTGGTACACTCATATACTATCTCTGTTCATGTGGGAAGTGAAATGTACAGTGTGTGAGGAAGTTGACATGACATGTTTTGCATCTTTAGAGCCCAAACAATTGCAGAGGTCCTATGTCATGTGATTTTTTCGAGGCACTTTGCAGATGACACGGGACTTATGCATTTTTCTGTTTTTTTCACTTTGCAGATGACATGGGAGTGTTTTTTTTTTGGGGTATGCCCGACTACTCCCATGTCATCTGCAGGTACTATATGTGCTTCTTATTTTTTCAAGTGCATCCTTTTCAGGCGTGTTTGTTTCACGCGTTTCAGGCATATCCTTTTCAGGAATTGATCTTGTCAGTTCAATTCTTCTCCGTTTTTTCGATCATGAAACTTTTCAGCCTATGCGTTTTCAAACTTACCCTTTGGGATTTGAACTTGGCAGTTGGCAAATTTCCTTTTTCTTGAGACCATAAAAAAAAGTAAAATACAGGAAAAAATGAACTAAAATGCCGCCATGTAATGTAGCCTTTGTTAATTTAATTGACTATCAGACATTTAAGTCACAGAATATGAAACCTCATTTTTTTATATACACATTTTCCTTGCACCAAACATGTTAGATGTAATATCCAAATGTTGGCAGTGGCCAATCCAAACCTGACCAATCCAACACATGATGGCATAGAAACATGAAAACATAGCAAAAACTACACGGACTACTATCTCACGGAAGTAAGGTGGCAACAGCATCATTAGGCCATTCATTGGTTCATAGTTTGTTATGCGAAACTAACGTTCATGTAATATGCGAAATTCATGTTCATATGCCGTCTTCATGTGTTAAGCTGGCGCTCAGCCAACTCTTAAGATTGTAGATGCGTTCAACCTACCAGTGGTTTGAAGTTAAATTCTAAACAAATAAATCTAAACAAATAGATGTTCTTAAGCGCATTCAAAACACTATGTCTTTCCAAATTTATTTCAACAATTCCCGTTCGTCATGACATTATTTGCTTCTTTGCATTTGGATTTGGAGTTTCAAATCTCGGCCTACATCTTTTTTTTGCAAGCATGCTGATTATTTTTTGGACCCTTCTCATTCAATAAATGATCGAACATCCGCCACATAATTCCGTTCAAAATGCCAGTTTAAAAAAATCAGAACATTATGCAAACAGAACCAAAAAAAACACGAATGTTTTGGGAAATTAGTTTAACTTATTCTGAAGTTCAGCTATGCATACATATAGCTCAACTTATACCTATAGACAGACCTTAAGATTTACTTCAAGCAAGATTTCCAAAATTTGGAAGTTTATAAGTAGGGCCAAACCATACCAGCTCAGGGCCTTTAACTTCCTACATAATAATTGATATCACTAATTATTCCACATGATGAGCCGGAGGGGCACAACAAACAGCGGCAGCAGCAACCACTATACAGCAGCTAGAAAAGATGACAGTTTTCTCACTCTACTTAAATGAAGTTACCAGCTATAACAGTGTACGTTCAGAGATCACGTCATGGTTGTCACTGCAGTCCCTTAGGCAAGGAATTCCCCGAAGGGCTCACGTCACCGCGTCGGGATCCGACATGAGTCACAAACTTGCTCAGAACAACGTTTCAAATTAGAATGTTGAGGTGCATCATACGTGCAAAACACAACGACAAACAAAAGGATGAAACACACTGACAGTCACGTACTTATATATATATATACATATTAAAAAATCAGAATAGACCTTGACAGCATACACCAACAACCAGAAATATTTAGGTTCCCTCCCCAGCTGCGACGTATATGCGCCCAGGAGCAGGACTATATAATATTAGCTATGTATGTGACTGTATGTGCATACAATAAAAGCAGGTACGTTTACACGGGTCCGGTGGGTGTCTTCGTTGGCAACCATAGGCGCGCCCTAATTTGCCCCAAAATCTTCCAAGTTCAAGCGGGGGCGAAGATTCCCAACCCAACCCCACCCACCCTTCCCCAACCCGCCTCACAGAACAGCACGAAGCTCACGTCCAACTCCACAAAACATTAGCAAACCTTGTTCCATTTCTAGCGCAGCAACAACTGCATGCTGCCGCATGCCCAATGTCAATTCATGTCAGGTCCTGCTCCTGATCTTCCGCCTTCACGTAGGTTGCTGGAAGTTGGTTCTTTGGTCCGATGACCAAAGAATCAACCCATTTCTATCGCCAGGATTGCGGCACCTCGAAGAAGAGCACAAAGAAGTGACGTTGTCCACGGACAGTTGCGACAACTCAGAAACGGGCACACACGAGACCGCCAAGAGGCTTAGAACGGACGCAGACAAGGCGAGGTCTCTCGGTGGGGTTCAGCTGGGGTTCATCAGGGCGCACTGCAGCGCAATCATAATCAGAGTGCAATGAAACAAAAAACGACGCTGACGCTCCGGAGGCAGACGGTGTCGCAGACGACGGTGCTGATTGGATGGGTGCCATGAGCGCTCTGAATGCCCTCAGCAGCGAAGATGAAGCCGACGACGCTGACGAAGCTGGCCAAGGCGAAATTCCCGAGGTCGGGGTGGTGTGAACCTGTCTTCAAATTCTTCAGACGATCCAGAACACTGAAACAATTTCAGTGAATGGCAGCGGTTTGTCTATGAAGCACGAAACATGTTTTCCTCCGTGCTGGCATTTATTGATGCATGTGGCTGCCGCGCCCAGGTTCACTAAATTATGGGACATTGTGTCACCTTGCTACTGCTGGCGTGCAAACAATCATGAGCATTCTCATTGGTTCAGTCAAAACCATTTGCAGAACTGCTGTGGAGGCATCGTCCGCTGGAGCTTCATCTTCAAAATGAATTAATTGACTGCTTTGAGGGCTGTCCCGGGCCAATACAGCCATGCACCGGCCAAACATGCAGATAGACAGAATAAGATGCAGCAAGAGGACGGATCTCGATGTGAAATGCTCTGAGCAAGTAGCTCGCTGGGCTGCAAAGGCATATCAACTGCTGCGCAAACATTCTGCCAAAACGACCTGCCACACGTGACTGCACAGTTAAAAAGATTGCAGGGGCGCTTGGACTTGCTTCGTCAGCGTCGTCGGCTTGACCGCGGATTGGGACACGGATTGACATTCGAGTTTTCATGGAAAAACTTAATTTGACCATTGGTTAGACCACCAGGAGCCGGCTGCAGATGGAGATGACGATGAATGTCAAAATCCCAAGAATTTTGTTTGGACATTGGATAGATCAATAGCCGTCAATAGCCAGTATCGCAGTGCATTTGCCGTGGCCCATTCAAGTCTTTTGTCGGCGATTATCAGCTTTGTTCGTTGTTGTTGCCTAAAGTGCAAGTGCTGCATCAGAGCTGCTCTGCTAGGTTGGAGCACGGCCGCGGGAAAGAAGAATGGCCGAAAGGCCGGTGACAGCATGTCGCACGTTGCATGTCATTGCAGTTGGCACGCTTTGTCCAATTCAAAGACACTACAGTTTGAGTTTTGCGCACGCTTGCGCAAGCAACATCGCGAAGTAAAACCAAACTAACGGACAGGATAACCCCACATGTCAACTCCTGCCAATAACCACCAAGTAGATGTGAAAACGAGATGAGAAAGGCAGGAAAGAGAAAGGGCATGGGCCGGAAAGATGGTGCGAAAGAGTAGTCAGTGAAAGAATTGCGTGTCTCAAAGTTCTGTGTCAAAGCATTACATGTGCTTGAAAGAGCTGTGTGTGACAGAGCTGTATGTGAAAGAGTTGCATGTGAAAGATGTTTTGTGTGTGAAAGATGGGTGATAGAGGTACAACAGAGGTGTCAGTGACAGAGTGATGCGTGAAAGGGCTGTGTGTGTGTGAAGGTGATGTGTGTGAAGGATTTGCGCGGGCATGCGCATGGTAATGTTGTGTGTGTGTGTGTGGAACATCTGAAGAGATGTAAAACTTCTACCTGATGATGTCGTTTTTCGGTTTTGGCAAGTTTGGGATTTTCTCGCTGTGAGGAATTGTCAATTTCGAACTTCGTTTGATTTTCATTTCAAATCCAAAATCCAATTTCGAGCAGGGGGCGACAGGGTCGCTGCGTGGCTGTCGCCAACGAAGCTCCATGCAGTTGACTAGGATATGGAGTCTGATCAACTCCACGTACCTGCTTCATTTCTTGGTTATGGGAAGTGGCTAACCCAAAGACCACCATGCCGTTAGGACTTACTTTGACTGAGCTGCATCAGAACAATTTGATCCCTTTTCGCACAGTTTCTCACTTCAAGTCATCAAACCGCTCCTGTCAGGTGTAACTGAAGTGTTTTTTTGCACGTACGACGCATTCCACATCAATAATTCGATAAGATGTTTCTGAGCAAGTGTGTGATTCACGCTGGATTCGTCAAGGTGGCATGAACCCTTCGGGGAAAGCCTTTCTAGGCTAAAAATTGACACGTTGAAACGATCTTTGAATTTACACTTTTGAATTGGTAATTCATCTCAGTAAAGTGAACCGCTGGCCATTTTTCAATTCTCACCCTGTCGATTGTCGTTTGGTTGAACAACTGGCCGCCGTGTGGCGTCAATTTTTTCAGCAGGTCAGCCTTACCGTCACTGGTAGCTTGCAGCCGCGACAACACCTTCTTTTTTCGCCATGCTCGAGAGCGCAACTGAACTGACACAGCTCATACATCATGAAGGAATTTCCAGGCAGGTTCATGACTTTAGGTGTGGTCTTTCCTTCTTTCTTTTGATGGTCGTTGGTGAGGTTCAATTGTGCACGTAATTCAGGGGTTGACGACGTAAGCTGTCTATGGGGTTGACGTGATACTTGGGCCTGTGAGCCTGCAACCAGGGGAATTTTGCACGATAATGTGGATGCATCAATTGTGAATTGTTTTTTGTGTGTTCTAATCTATTCAGCCTGACATTGCCGCCATGTTTCCTGGACGTTTTCCCAACGTCCCTGACACGATGTGGAACTTTGGTTGGACTCCGCAAACGGTGGGACTTCAAGGTCAATTTTGTGGAGGTGACATGATGAATCAACAGTCACAAGCTCAGTCTCAAGCTCAGACTCAGGCTCAGATTGCTGCTCTCAGGGAGCAAAACGCGATTCTCAATCAACAGCTCACTTCACAAGCTCAATCCCATATCCAACATCTTCAGCAACTCATCCCCTTCCATCAACCTACTCAACAGGCTCACGCCACATCCACTCCACCGACTCCACAACCATCAGTACCTCAAGCGCCAGATCCACCAACACCAGTGGCACCTCAAACCACTCAAGCTGGCTCCAATCCATCCTTCAATCCTGAAGAGATGATGCAACAGATGAAGCACACAGTCGAATCCAGCATTCAAGCCTTCGTGGATAAGACCCAAGAACGCAATATCAACCAACCTCTTGCGCCAGCACATCCACCAACTCCAACTCCAAACTATCCACACAACATCAGTCACCCACATCCACTTGGTGAATATTCAACATCCAGTCGCCGATCCCCACGACGATCCCGGTCCCATCGCCATCGCTCCATGTCACGGAGACATGACAAACGACCAGTCTCCATTCCTCGGAGCCCTCGTCGTCGCAGATCCACAAGAAGAGCCCGTCGCTCTTCACGACCTCGATCATCCTCCAGAGAATTTTCCACCTCCAGGCATGCCTCACGTCAGCCAAGCAGAGCCACGTCCATCACCCTGCGCTCAGCATCTCCACAACGTCGAGAAGAACGACATCGTGTACAAGATCATCAACCACCACGGGAACAAACCCATCCACCAGCTACTCTTCAACCTGCATCGTGGGAATACCACCCACAACAGCCTTCTCACAACACCAACCCTCATTCACACTCCTACCACTACGACCAATCGACCACCAACAAGTGGCAATCCTGGGGACAATGGAAGGACTATTCCAATTCCTCAAACCCACCCAATCCATCCAAATGGATTGACTGCTCACTACTCCAAACCATCAGCCAGCTACAACGACCCTTATGACTCCTCTACCAAGCCACTCACAGCATTCTCCTCCGACCACACCACATCTCATCGCCAGAAGAAGAAACCCTCACACACATCGGGTTCGGATCAATCCCATGCTCCTGTCAATGTCCCTCCAGGACACGTTGCCATCAACCTTCAAGAAGGTTCCAAGGAAGAGTGGTTCAGAAGTATCAGGTATGCCTTAAATCATCCTGAGCGGATGAGAGCGGCCAATGAAATCGCGATAAGCGACAGACCTCAGCCGACGCAAACCATGGACCACCAGGCCTATGAACAAGCCTGCGAGACTAAGAAGGTTGACAGCCGCATTCCCCCGGATGTCATCCAAAAAGCTATCCAGCTGTTCTTCAGCACACACCTCCTTCCTGACTATGATCTTAAACAAGCACAGATCCGAGAACTTCCTTCCACCAACATGATTGCACTCATTCTCCCCTTACCTGACACCAGTCACTTCCAGATGCCACCTCCATTTCGAAAACGTCAGAACCACACATGGGCGCTACTTCATGGGACGACACTTCGTACCTCCCAGTTTATCCTCCTTGAGGGCAAGAGCAGACCAGCCAACTGGTCTTATCACAAAAACCATCAAAAACCTTCAACGGTGCGACATGCCAACCTTTGGGGCTTTCTACCTTGGCAGAGAAGTGGCCAACAGTGACAAGACCATACCAGAGTGGGCTGCAAGAGAGCTGCGCGACACCATCCAGAAGAAAGGAAAAGGACAACAAGACATCGTCATCGGGGCGATGTATCGAGGAACAAATGTTCACACCGCATACAAAGCTGGAGGCAACGAAATGGCGCAGATTGCTGTAGCTGACAAAGGAATAGTCACCACGTCCGAGAAGTACGCGATTGCCCACAGCAATCATGTGGGACTGAAGTTCGTCGCCTTGAAGTGGCAAAACCTGACCGACAAGATCGACGTGGGCGACACATCCTCAGAAGACCTTAATTATCGTACCACTGAGGAACGTTACTCAGGTCGCCGTTGACAGCAGGACCTCAGTGCTGACCAGTTGTCGTCATGTATTATTAGCTCTGTTCGGCTTCACCCGGAAACCGGAGTTGACATTTCCAGGGAAACCTGGACACGCTTTTGATCAAAAAAGTACGGTTGCCTCAATCTGATTTGAACATGTTTGGACCTAAGGTTCGTGTCGTGTCATGTCTCACCATTGCACTCTACACATTGCCATGCTGCTACCGCACATCAGTTGAAGTGATTTCAAGTTCTTTTTCGAGTCATCAACGGTGATGTCCATTGCTGGCTTTACGCTGATTCATTTTCCAATCATTTGACCTTTGTGTATACTTTCTGCAGTTTTGATTCTTTTCTCATAGCTACTAGAGAGATTTTGAGTAATATTCCTCAATGGCAGATTCGGATAGATCCAGATCTCCAATGCCGGGACGCAACCGCTCTGAACCTCGTGGACCAGCTCAGCTAGTACGACAAGAACTACATTTCTTTCCTTGCTGGTGCGGACCTATGCAAGCGGCTGTCTGGCACTCACAACAAATGTCACGCCCTCAGTTTCGACCTCAGTTTACCATGCAGCAGTCGGGAGCCTATATG